GTAACAGCTATTTTTTGCTGTGTTTTTTACCCATAAACCTTATATTTCTACCAAATGAAGCCAATGTCAAATAACCCTCCCAAACTGGCGAAAGCAACGTGGGTATTCTTTGCAAAACAATAGTTTTTGTTCAAGTGCGGCAAAGTAGGAGAAGACTGCTTTCAGAACAGTTGCTTTCTCTGCCTCGAGTGCAGAACAGGTCCTCTGAGCCGGCTGGAATGCAGCTCCACGTGCACCGCGTGGGGAGCAATTGACTCTTCTGTATTTAATTACTGTTTTGAGTAAACTGGCCTCTCGTTGCCTGGTTGGCTCACCCTCTGCTCCATTTATGTTATTTATCTGTAATAACAGAACATTAACTTGCAATAGAATGTTGTGACTAGATAATAGCCTACCGCTTTGGCAGTAATTGCCTTGGCTGCACCTCGGTGTTTGTGTTCCTGTTTCTGGGGTTATGGTGTCTTTTGTATGAGCCCTGCTTCTGTTTTGGCACTTGTATTGCACCAACAAATCATTATCTGATCACAACATTTTATTCATTGGATGTTATTTTCTAAATAAGAAATCAGGAATGGTATTCTGCGTTAAAAAGTATTTAAACTGAGATTTGTATGGTTTGCTGGGTCAAACATTTAAATGTTTCCAACCTGAATTCTGTTTCTTCTACTTTCTGATTAACTTGTTAGATATATTTATTAAGTACTGCAGTTTGTACTTTTTTATTTTGTAATATATTGTGATTTTGGAATTTATACAGTATTTGTATAATAGGAATATTCTCAGCTAAAATGGAATGAATAAAGAATATAATTTTACTTGTGCTCTTTTTCCCATTCTTTGTGTTCCAATTATGAGGAACTGGAAGTTCATTCCCAAGAACCTTTACTTACCTTCTTTGCCTTACTTTCCCCGGTGAGTGGGGGGAAAGCAGGGACATAATATTTGATGAAACAAGTGATATTATGGGTAGTCTGGAGGTGTGAAAGAAAATCAAACACTTAATGACAAGTACTTCAATTCTTTTATAATTACAAGTGGCCTTTAGCATAAATACTTGCCCTTGAGAAAGCCCTGAGGGATTCCTGTCTGTACCAGGGAGTGGTACCATGGGTTGTGGTGAAACAAAGCTCTGCTGGGCAGTGCAAGCGTTCACTTGGTCTCATGTTGCACAAAGAAGCTGTGGATGCCCCATCCCTGGAGGCATTCAAGGTCAGATTGGATGGGGTCCTGGGCAGCTCGAGCTGGTGGGTGGCAGCCGTGCCTATGGCAGAGGGGTGGGACTGGGTGGGTGGTAAGGTCCTTTCCCAGCCAAGCCATTTTATGAACTTTTGTGTCTGAGAACCTTTATTCTGCAGCCATTCCCAGGCTTGTTTTAGGTTAGCCCTACCTCTGCACTTCTCTCAGTTACTCGTATAGAGGTCGTATCATAAGGAAATACAGCTTTTTTCCCTTTCCTTTTAAAAGTGAAATGCCTTACAAGCTGTTAAATAGCATGGTGTGTATTTACATATCAATCTTTGCCTGTCTCTAAAAATAGCAGGTCATCTTTAAACAAACAGGAGAGCGCTGGCTTAAAATTAGGATTAAAGATAAGTAGCTGAGATGCTGCAGTGTTAATTGAGCACGTGTGTTCTGTTAACGAGCTGCAGGACTGATCGTGTGTATGTTTGCCTTATGTGATGCAAAGAGGAAATCAGAAACTTATGTCATTTACAAAACTTTATTGGTTTAAATTCAGAGTATATTTTTCCCATTTTTTTTTCACACACAATCATGCTTCATCTTTAAAAGTCAAACAGTGGTGGAAGAAGCAGTCTTGCTGGTTGGTCCACTGGTGCCTTACTGTGACTAAATCTCTGGAAGGCTAAGCTCTGAGGGGGGAATGTGGCAAAGATGCAGACACAGATGTATTCATGGGGAAGAGAGATAGCTGATGAGGAAAAGAGCTGCTCAGCTGACTGAGCACGGAAGTAGTGATACAGCGTTGCTGAATATTAGGGGTGTGTTTGATGTTAAAAACACTGCATCCAGTCTGATAGCTTTGAGTTGGATACTATGAATTTGTTCAAAGTTGCCAGTATCTCATACTTCTTTGAAAACACTGATTTTACTTTAGGTCTTTAAAAATTACTAGTTTCAGTTGTACTGTGAATTGTGCACATACACAAAGCTCAGGAGCACTGACGGAGTAAGCTGAGCGGGGAAGGCTTGGCATTGCCAAGTGTTCACTGTGTGAGAAAAAAATTCCTGTTAAAATATCAACAAAAATGTAGCAGTAAAATGAACAGCACTGAACTCTGGGATGAGTTCCCAGAGGATTCCTAGGAGTTTTGATGCCATTGCAGATGTTAGTGGAACACATTTGACTTTAAAGAATTAAAATTGTTGAACTGATTTTAAAAGCCATTAAGAATGTATTGTTGAAGTATATAACAAGTTATTTTAGTGGCTTGCATTACAGACTGTGTGAATTTCAGAAGAAAATGGATAAATGGTATGTTAGATGCTTAAGGCGTGTGGAAACTGAATTGTTTTTGTAACACTGCTGAGAGACAGAGTTCAGCTGCAAGCATCTTGCCTGAGCAGGAGTGTTTTATTAGTGACAGTGGTCCCAATGTGGCAAAGTTGTTTGCCATCCCCCATTTGAAATAAACTTTCCCAGCAAAAGCACAAATAGAGGCAGGTTTTCCCTTACAGTCTCCATTACCAAACCCAGTAGCTACAGAAGGACAAATGTTGCCCTTGCTCGTTATTTCAGCGCCCGATTATTTTAACCTTGGGTAATCACTTGTATAACCCAGCTAATCCTCAGACCTGTCTGGGGACTGTGGGAAACAGGCTCGTATTGTTGGCAATAAGTGAGAAGGAGATCTTGGTTTTCAGTTTCAGTTGTGTGGTTAAGTGAGATAGAAAATGGTTTAATTCTATACTGAGCAGATGTGAACTGGATTGTGCTTCTGTAGGCTGCACACCGACTTGGTGATGCCATCCTCACTTGTGTTCTGTAGTAGAAGTGGGAGTTAGATAGCAGGCTGAGTGCTTCATGTCAGGAATTCCTTAGGTTACAGGATGCCATTTTGTCATGAAAGGTTAGCCATGTTGTAATTTTCTTGTGTCTTGAACAGGTGCTGTAACACAAAGCAAGGTTTGTAAGAATAGAATTGTTTTGCATATAAAAGGAGCATTCCAAAATGGAAAAGTGCAAGTTGAAAAGGGAAGACCTTTCAAATGTTGCTGTCCTTCATCTCAGTCAATGTGTTTCTTCTTGGAAAGCTGAGTGGATCCTTGCCTGTGCTTAATAACTTCTGGGATGTGGAAAGGTTGCCTAACACCAGGTGCTGGGTGTGAGGGTCCTGTTGTACTTTGCCAGCACACCAAATGTGTAAAAAATACATCTGTTACATTAATGTAACTTGTACATAAAGGTGTATTTCAGTACTCCCTGTGAGCATACAAATTTTTCTGCATCCGAATGTTTCTTCTGGCTGGTTTTGCTCTTATGCTGGAATTAGTGGATAGGACTAATTTCATTATCTGTACCATACTCTTTTCGCACATACAAGGACCCAGCATTATTCCTGCACATAATTTCTTTATTTTCATATTTTGGCTATTCAGCAAACCAACATTTCTGGGCAAGAAAACACATGGTTTCAGATCTCTGGGTGAGGTCTGGAGCTCGGTGACCTCTGTCCCTTTAACCTAATATGGCTAAGAGCAATGCTTCTTCCCATCGCTGATGCTCTGCTCAAGATAAGAAATAACTGGATCTTTGGAACTCCAACAGAGTTTCTTTTGCTATTTTTTCAGAGAGAGTCTGTGAGCAAAATGTACTCCTTTTGTAAATAAACAATACGATGCATTTTCTATCTATCTGTTATTAGACTTAGAGATTGAGCTTTGACTAAGCAATTAAGGAACGTATTTATATGACTTCTTTCCTTAGCAAATTTCAGCTCTACCAGATCAAGTTACTCACAGGGCTGACCTTACCTTCTGTAGCTTAAGATAGGAGTGATGAGAAAATTGATTGTCTCATTAATTATCCTCAGAATTTGATATGACTCCTGCAAACCCTACCTACAGTCTCTTTAATTTTGTTGTTGATCACTGATCATTTACCCTTCCAAGTTTAACCCCAGAAACTAGTTATGCTGTACAATAAAACCTAATTAAATAAGACATCTGAATGAGTTTATGAGTTGACAGCTGTTTTGCTGCTTGTATGTAATTGGAGAGAAAGGTGGTGCCTGAAATGAAGCCATTGTGAAAGGACTTGTTTTGCTCTGAAAGATGGTTATGTCAGCTTGCATAGCATTGTGACTGCTGATCTGAAGCCTTTAGTGCACTTGTGTTTGTTAGTTAGAATAAAAATGTTATCTCACAATAAGTTATGTTTTTACTAAACTGAGATTGAAAACTCAAGAGACTAATACTGGTAGATTAAAAATGAAAACAATATTCTGCTTTTAGGAGCCAGGAAGAAATTGTTTTTTCCTTTCCTTTATTTTCCATCATCACAGAAAAGAAATCTTTAGCTTTACATAATGAACGTTTGTGCCCATTCTATTTGAACTGCATCCTATTTGAACCAATAGGTTGAATAAATGTAGGATAAGACCTTTTACTTCTGATTAATATGCCCAGAAGTGAAGTTTCCTTGGCTAACAGATTATGTTTTATACTGCAGAATACTATGAGAATGGTGTAATCTCAGCTGGAACTTGCTTGAGAAGCAGTGCATACACTCTTTGCAGTGAATGGAATACTTTTTATATTTTTGGCACGCAGCTTATCTTCATTATCAGGAAGTAAATATTTATGGATGCTTTCTCAATTAGATAGCTGTCCTTTTGTATAAACTCACAGCAACTTGTATAAAACATTTGTGCCTATGATTCCTGGTAGATTTCCACTTTTCAGCTGGTATTTCATAGCAGGTTTTCTCTCCTTGTAGAGGAGCTTGATATAGTTCTGGCCAGAGAAACAAACATTTTAAAATGGACAGACAGACAAACCTAGGCCCTGCTAGGTAAACTGAAGAATATATTTTCTTAAGATAGTTATTCTGAAAAGCATTATGAACTTTGATATCACAAAGCAGACAATAGCTGGGGTAGCCTAGGATACGTGTTCTTTGAGGCACTTTGTTGCCACATTGAAATTGTTTCAGCAAAAAAATGAAGGAATGTCATATTTTACAACAAAATGTTGTCTAAAATGACTGGAAAGGCTTACAGTAATTATCAGTTTTATCCTGTATGGCAACATTCCAGATATTTTCCTGTTGTATTTTCTTTCAGGAGTCCTCAAGATTGTCATCTGTAACACATAGCTGTATAGGAACTGTTGAATCATGGCCTGAACCTCTGATTGATCACCTGAGGCAAGCACTGAGTCAGCCCTGGGGCGCAGGTGAAGACAATTCTCCTAGACCCCATTTAAGGGCTGACTGCCACTGAGGAAGGATCTCTCTCTAGAGATTGCTCCCCTTGGACCTTTTTCTGTGAGCCCAGGACACGGGTAAGCTTTCCATTCATTTCTAATTATTCCTCTCTCATGTGTTAATCCTTCCAGCCTAACTTCTCTGTATGCTTATTGATTATACATCTGTATGCTTGTCAATTGTACTATAGCATAATGTTTTCCTTCACTTCTGGCAGTCCTGGTGTGGGGTTAGATGGGGTCGGCAGTGAGGAGGCAAGGTGGTTCCTGAAGTGAGATGTGCTGGTTTATCCATACATCAGCTTATAATAATACATTCTGCATCAACCAGTGGTCAGAAGTGCACTGATGTGTAGGTTTTGTGTATGGGTCACAGAAGTCACTTTAATTTCAGTTAAGAAGCTTAGCAGACACGCATGAACAGCACCAATGCAGGTTATACGCTGCATCAAATATTATTTGTATACTTAAACCTGAAGTTACAGTAAGTATCTGAAATAGGCTTTGATTGCATGTAAGATCCATCAACAGCTCATGTGTATCCAGCTGTGAGTCCCCCATGGCCTCATTGTGCTGATCTGACCAGAGCTCTCCTAAGCTGAGCCTTGGCCTCTGGGTTCTGTCAGGCATCTCAGTGCTGCTTAGGATTGGGGAGCTCAGCATGTCAAAACTACTCCACATGTTCCCTTTTGAAATTCTGACTTCCGTAACGTTATTTGGTGGTTGAATAATTGCTTGTAAGAGGTCTCCTGACCTTGTTGCCTGGAAGCTTACATGATGTATTGCATTAAGTTCATCATCAGGTGGCAAAAGACAACATGCTACAGGTGGGTTGTATTTGTAAGGATCCATGTCATCCCAGAGAGCAGGAATGTTAGTGTTTGCAGTTATTCTGCCAACTAGATTTTAGCTGTGAGAGCAAGTGAGCACTGTGACAGTAGATGCTCTACTTCAGCCAAGGGATTGGGTTAATCTCTGCTAAGGCGTTGGGTGCTTCCTCAAGGCCTTGCACTTTATCTCAGTGCTCTCTGGGTTGGGCTTTTGCCAGGCAGCAGCTATAGCAAATCTCTTGCATGCTGATGTTGATAGAGGAGATAGACATGAGGCAGGTACTGTCACTGTGCAGGGAAACGTGTCATGGTGTGTTTCACTGGTGCACCGTTGGTGTCTTGTACCACTCCTATCTAGGAAGAGGTGTGAAGGAAAAGGGTTTATATGCCACAGTTACATGGAATCAGTCTTTCTCACAAATCTAACGTATCTCATACAAACATCTTCAAACCTGTCCTGTGCCAGCTATGCTTACACTTCTTCTACAGGCTCTAAATTTATCACCAATACTTTTATAGCCATGGAGACACTTTAAAGCTCTGAAAATGCCACTGACATTTGATCACCTTGAGATCTCCAGTGGAATGTAATTTTTTAAAACCTAATGCAAGTCTGGATCCAGATTTATCTGCTGTTCGGATATTTGTTTCGGTCTATTTACTGCCACCATTATGCATTTAATTCACTCATAAACGTTAATGTGCTTATTCCTGTCACATAGGGCTGAAATTGTTGGGTAGTTTTCAGTGACGGGAATGCTATCAAAACTGGAAGGAAAAAGGAGAGAAAAATGCCTTACGGGGGGAAAGATACTTTGGTGGTTAAAGACAAGAAAAAGCAGGCAAGCAAAGAAACAAACAGTCAGCAATATGGACACTTCAACTACCAGTCATCTTCTTTTTTTCTTCTTTTTTTCCTTAACTGAAGCTGTGATGAAGTCAGGTCTTAAGTTTAATTCCCTTTTCCATGCAGATGTCTGTAGTGATTTTGGATGAGGAAGGTAAAACTCAATAAGAAAAAAGAAATTACACTTCCTATACACACAAGAAGGATTAAGAATGGGTTATTTGCAAAGTGTTACCTTTTCCCTCCCAGAAATTACATAGGAATAGAGATCTTGTCTAATGGGAGTCAAACCCAAAGTAGATTTTAGAAATATTACACCTGATAAGATTTGATTTGTGTTATTTCCAGTTTCACAAAATTTATGACATAATTTGAGCACACAGTTGGGCCTCTGTGAACAGTAAGTTTCTGAAGTATTAATTCCACCATTATAGACTTTGTAAGTGTTTACAGCTGTGTTAAGGTTGGTAAGTAGCAAGGGAATTCTCAGCAGGAAATATTACATGAATAGGATGTTAGAAAAGTCCTACGCTTCTTGTGTGCTTGGCTGTAAATTTCTAGCTTGAATTTCTTAGGGGAAGAAGAGAATGTAATATGGAACTTATTTGGGCTCTTTACTGCTGTGCTGGTAGAGAGCTCATCCCAGCAAAATCTCTCACCCAATTCCTTTCCTGGAAGAGCAGCCCTGGTCTTGGCTTGGTGCAGATGCATGTGGTGTGTAGCATGGCTGCAGACTCAGTGCAGTGCAGGGCCTGTGTTCCTTCAGTGAGGTCCAGCTCCAGCCCCAGGAGCACAGGCTGGCTTTCAGCAGAGGGCTTTGGTCCTAGGAACTAGATTTCAAGGTGCCCATACTTTCTGCAGCACTTCTGTGCATGTTCTTACAATGCTAACGTATCTGTATGAGGAGTTTGTAGCCCCAGGAGAGCATTGAAGGTACTGTGTTACAGACCTGTAAAACTCCCATGTATGACTAAATGCCATTTAATAGGAAGCCGTGGTGACTGTAAACAGGAAAATGGTACAACAGTTATAAATAGTTCACTTCTCAGCAATTGCTGTGGAAGAAAAAGAGAGAATTACTTGACAACTACTCAGTTCAGGTCTCTGGCTGAAACAAGTCAGCTGCATTGCCAGTCCTTGGGAGTCTGAGTTCCACACTGCTTCTGCTAACAGAATGCCAGAGCCACATGGCCCTGAACACTGACACAGAATAACGAGGTGGTCTGCAGTAACAGTGAGGTAAAATGTTTAGACTTCTTTTTTTCTGTTCTTCTTATGAAGGCTTAGGAGGAAGTTGCCAGCTCCTAAATATGTACAGGCTTTAAAGGTCAAAATGTGACTCCTAGTGCACATCAAAGAGTTTCTTAGCTCTGACTACTGGAGAAATAGGGCTTACACCATCCATTATCCCATGCAATGCTGTCAATGTCCCACCAGTGTGTGCTCCTATCACTGTCTCCTGCATTATCTTCAGCTCTGTTCTTCCCATTCTTCTGTCAATCTACAGCCATGCTCTGGTCCTGGTACTTTCTTCCCTCTCTCTTTTTTTTTTTAAATGCATTAGTTCCAGACAATTTCAGCTCATTAGAAGCTGCTCAGAGCTGTACCTGAGGCTGCTGTACCATGGTGTTCTGCTTCTCCTGCATCACCAGGGATCAGAACAGTGGGCAGTGGGGACAAGGCAGCACTGAGAGGGTCACCAGTATCCCTGAAGACCAGAGGCTGCAGTTTGGCTGCAAGCAGGGGAGTAAAGCACCCAAATAAGTGCAGTAGTTGATTAACCTGCTTACATGTTGGCATTTTCTTGCCCCAAAGCATAGAAGTCCGTCAGGCTATGGTACCTATTACCTTTTAATCCTTGGAAAACACAGTGTTTTGTCATGTCTGTATTATTTTACTTTTTAAAAGTCACATTTGACATCAAGTTCCTTTGCCTTTGTGTCACCCTTTAAACCTGTATCCCTTTCTGGAAAATATAAGTTAGATTTCTGAAATGGCGGAGCCGTTCAACTGCTCTTTTACTCAACTTCTGTGTATCTGAGATGGGAGCAACAATCTTCTCACAGCATTAGTGTGCCATGAACTACAGTGAATGTACCTTATAAACATGAGAAAGTACAATAGAGCTGCTATGAGTCATGGTAGATTCGATACACGCAGTTTATTTTTCCTACTTTTCTGTGCTTGTAGATGCTAATTCATGATAGATGCAGTTGAAACATTTGACATTTCTGGTTTTCTGTTCTGCTGGGCTCCTTTTGCTGTTTTTCTTTGTTGTAACCCTTTTCTGGCAAACTTGTTTTGAACTTGATTGTGGGTAGGTACTTGTGCATGTGATTATTCGTATACTAAAGTATAACATTATACTAAAGTATAACGTTTATCCTAAAGATCTTAATAAGAGAAAAAGGTAGCATTTACTTTTGCAGGTTAAACTTGCACAATAGATCCAGTAAGTAACTGTTGTGCTATGAAGAGTCCTTATAAAAGCCAGAAGAAATACCTTGTGTTCAAATATCTAATAATTAAAATCCCTGAATTAGCATAACATTGCAATGCTAGTCTCTCATTTGAACAGAATGATCTCTTTGGCACAAGTAGCATCTGTAAAAATGTCTTACTTATTTTTTATCATTAAAAACACACTTCTTTCAGTGAAGTTCACCGTGGCCAGAAAGAGAGACTTGCTGCGCTTTTACTTGTGTGTACTTTGGCCAAGGCAGAATGTAATGCCAGCTCTTTGATAATAATAATTTGCAAAATAAGTTCCTTCTTCTCAGGCTATTTTATATCATTCATTTGCTTTCTTCTCTATCTCAAACAAGATTAGGGATGGAAAAATCTTCTCCAAGATTTCTGTCCCTAACCATGAGTTGTGTATTGCAGCAGCTTTTCACTGCCTTTAGAAAACATGAGGAGATTAAAAACTGCAGTACATTATACTGACAGATGAGAGAGGCTATTTTTTTCCCCTTACATAACTGAATAAACAGTTCTGTAGGAAAATAGCATTATCATATGTTATTCTCTGCAGCAGTATGTGCATAAGTAATCCTCAGCAGAGATACCTTTAATAACAAAAAATGAGAAGTGAGTTCTGCTATATGGCTTTGACTTCCAGTTCTAGCACTGGAGATGTACACTGAGATAATGTGTTACCCTGTACTGTTTCAAACCCGCAGAAAAACTGGTTCCCTTTAAATGAGTGTCACGCGTGTCTACATCTTGCTGTGATGATAACTCACGATTACTTCTCCAGTGTTCAGAACTCTTAATACTTACAGTGCTGAACCTGTGAATAAATGAAGAGTCAGACACCTAAATAATAGGAATGAGAATAACAGTTATGTTGTTTGTGATGTTTCTTCTGTTTCATTCCTCTTTGCCATTCCTTGCAGGTTTTAGCCAAACAAAAGCCCAGCTCAGGCTTAAAAGCCAATATGAGCTAAACGTGCTTTTGGCTAAACTCCAACCTTCCTTGTTTGTTGTCTTGAGTTAGTGTGTCAGAAAAGGGTACCAATTTAAAGAAACATCACTTTAATTTGTCACGTCACTCACAAACGGATGCTTGTGATGGAGGAATTCAGTAGCTCCTTAAAGAGATAAACAGATTACAATACAGTTTGAAGGGAGCATTACTAGAAGATTAGAAGCCTCTTTTAATGACTGAGATTAAAAGCACTGGAAATCTCAGCTGCTACACTGCTTGATTTGCAAAGATCTATGTATGTGGGTGTGCACTTTCTAACCTTATGAATAGATGTGGTTTAGGCTGATGGGGAGGGACAGAACAGGTGCCAAAATTCCTAAACATACTCAGAGCATCAATTATAAACACTGAGCACATATCAGTGCTGTTAGAGAGGAGGAGAATCAAAGCTTTACAACACACTGGAAAAAAACTGATGTGGTGAACTGTATATAAGTGCAATATTTAGTTCAACAACAACAAAAAATAGATTATATGCAGAAAGCATTTTTGAAGTTATTTTCAATTGAGTTGTAATTAGTGCAATAGACTTTTAACAGATACACATGGCATTAATGCTATGTTGTGACTCTTAAAAGCTGTGAGTTTCTGGAAAGGTATACTAGAATGTGCTTCTACTTGTAATGTTTTTAAACTTTTCATACATATAATTAAGACCAAACATCTGCACTCCTCTAATGATGGATAATAGCTATCATTGTGACAGTGCATGTAAAGTAATTACTGCAGTCCTCTAGAACATCAAACACCTGGGACAAACCTAATGCATTTGCAGTATACAGCTGTGCCCATTGACATGAATGGGTGGTATTTGCATTCAACATTTTAAATATTCAGTTCCACAACCTAAAAAAAAGTTTCCATCCCATTGCAGTGCTCCTCTAAAGTGGTTCATTTTTCAGAGCTATGGTTTTGACAGAAAACTCTACCCCTGGCTGTTTTACTCTCTTGGTAGTCTGAAGCCAGTTCAGAGAATACCTTAAGGGTTCTAGTCTCCATCAGTCATTACCAGATATTTTCTTTGTCTTTCCAGGAGTTGTCCCTTCAGCTATGAACACCCTGTATCACTGCACTCATTTTAGAAGAAAAGAAATACCTGCACAGAATGAATCCAGACTCACCGTACCCATCTCCACAGCTGTGACGTCTGGTTCCACTCCCTCAGCCCAGTAGATCAGATTGCCTAAAGCCCCATCCAACCTGGCCTTGAACACTTGCAGGGATGGGGCAGCTTCTCTGTGCCACTGTCTCACAACTCTCACAGTGAAGAATTTATCCCTGTCATCTCATCTGAACATATCATCTTGTAATTTAAAGCCATTACCCTCAGATCAGTTCAAACTGATCATCATACCTAACTGAACTCAGAAGAACTTCTTCAGCTGCGTTTAGCTTTGAACATCACTGCCCTATTTAGAAGCTGAAGAAAGGACTGAGAGTTCTCCCTTCTGTAGCCATTGGTCTGTGGAAGATGTTCCTCCTCCCTTCCTTTTGTCCTTGGACTTTTATGGTGATAAGAACTATTGTCAGAGAAATGACATTGTTTGGGATGACATCATTTGAATGATTGCTCTTCCTCTGTTTCATTTTTAGGTTGTACTTAGTGTCAGTAACAGACTTAAGCTTTACTAACGCTGAATCCCAAGTGCAGCGGAAGTCAAGGCTGTGAGGTTAGGATAACTGGGTAAGTAGGCCAATAAGTAATTATGATAAGAAGGTTAGTAAAATTAGTAGCAGCAATAAATGGCTAAAGTTATCCTCCTTGAGTTCTTTGTTCTATATTTTGCCAGTGAACATTTTCTTAGAATTATTTACTAGAAGCAGCAGAAAATTGCTAAACACTCTTGCAGTCATAAAAGTGAAAATTAAATGACAATGATGGGGGGATGTCTATCTCATTTGAAGGGCAATGTAACAAGTGTTTGTAAAGTGGAATGTTTATCACTGAGTGATACAGTAGATAGACATTACTGAGTCCAAAACAGAAGCTGATGCAAATGGAAGGATAAGAAAGGCTTAAGCAGTCACATATCCAAAGCAAAGAGGGCCTGTAGCTGTTATTACTGAAGGGAGGTACGGGCTTAACAGTCTGGTGTGTCTGTCATCAGTATTTGAACACAGCCTGTTTTCACATTTCTATTGCTGAACTACAGAACTCAACTTTTATTTCAATCTTTCTTCTATTATTTGTGGGTTATGATCACTGCATCTGGGCTTTTCATTTTCTTCACTCCTTTTAGCACTGAAGTCTGGAGGACTTTGGGCCTAGACCAGCATATATGAAGCAGACTGTCCAAATAGGATGCAAGTCAAATATTACATAATTCTCCAGACTCACAGTGCAAAGATGTTCTTCCAGAACTGCCCCTGTTGCCTAATAAAGCGTGTAGGTGCAAAGAATCATGGGCACTTGGGTTGAAAGAGAAATGAAGACTACACAAAGAGCGACATAGCTTTGTCATGAAGTTGCACAGGTGGAAAATATCTTCAAAGAACACATCACAGTTGTGCATTCTGTTCTTTTGCTTTTGCTCATATGTTATTCTCATATCAACAGGATACTAGAAGTTAAAGTGAGAATTAATGCTTTTATCCTTGTCCCAAAGATCCCTATCTGAAAAACCTACAGCTTAATTCATTGGTCTTGCAGCCTGGTCAAAGTATGTCAGGTTTTGAGTTTATTTATGCTGGTAGAAGTCTCTGGGCAAGGATTATATTCTTACATTTTCTTAAAAGATAAAGAAAATAGAGATCAGTGACTGTTATTACATAAATGATGTCTTCCCAAACAGTTTATTATTAAAAAAAAAAAAAAACTCGAACAAAAGTTCACTTGCAGTGGGGAGGATAGGACCACAGGACAGAGTATGATTGCAGTTTGAACCTCAATATGTCTTGCTGTGCCCAGGCGATACAGGAGAAGAGATGTATGTTTCTGTTCTCTGTGTCTCCATGGGGATTGCTTCCAGGCTCTGCTCTGCAAATCTGCTGTGGACACTTCCAAAAGCGTCTGTCTCACAGGGACTACTCAGGCAAAAATACCTTAAGCTTATGAGAAGCACACAGATTTTCTTTTTGAAAGAAAACAATCAGCTTCAGTGACAGATCCACGTGTTAAGCTTGAGGTTTGCCTGGGAGGATGAACATAGAAATTTCTCTTGCTGAAGCAGCAGTCACACAATGGCCATGTGGAGTTTAAATAACTCATGCTTCAGCCATATGTGATAGTCATGGCTTGGGAAAGTTCAATTTCTTCCTATTATGTTCTTAATCCTGTTGGTTTAGAAGACATTATTCCTTCTGTTCTGTATTGTATAAAAATATATCACTCTGTAGATGGTCAGGGCATGTCAGCTGTTAAGCTGAATGTTTTATGAATGGAGCAGTACAGTATCTGTTCTTTAAGCGGGGCTGCCTTCCTACTTACGATCTCATTAGGCTTTACTAGCAAGAGAAATTCTTGAAGTCCTGGGAAAGAGAAGCAAGAAAACACAGGCACTTTCCTGGAGGAAAACTGAAGGGAAAAGGGCATCAACCAGTCCTCAGAGCTGTAGTATCTCCAGAAATATTACTAAAACCACTTTTCTTGAATATCTTCTAATTTGAAAGAGTATTTTGCTATTTAAGAAGAAAAATTCAAATTCTGCAGGGATCTCAGATCTTCCAGAGAAGGTGCAGGCCTGAATAGTGGATGTCTACATGGGAACAGTTTTCTGTGACTTAGTTTAGATGCAGTTGGAGTCCTTCAAGACCTACAGGGATGTCTAATTGTATGCCTAAACATGACTTCAAATTAATCAGGGATAATATGCCTGTGTATACTAGGCACAGTACCCTATATGTGGGTCCTGACAAAGATTGTGGTAAGCACTGTGTAAACAGGTAATAAAACCAGTCTGTGCTTCAGAGAGCTTGCATGAGTGAAAAACAAGTTGTAGCAGATGAGTGAAATAAGCCAAATGATATTTATGTTATGAAAAGATCAAAATAATGAAATAGTTCAGTTGAAGTGCCAACTTACTGCCTGGGGACACACCTTGTAGCTGATGTTGTGGCACCTACCCTTTTGAAAACAAAGTCTGTAAGTAATATGTGTCCTAAGATGCTTATTCAGGCTTTTAAAGACATTTATCTAGTGCAAATGCATCCACGCATGCACTCACATATGTATATACACACAAACAAGTTCTTATCATAGGTCAAAATACCTTGCTGACAGTAATTACAGGTTCAGAAATAACTCTACAGTTCTTTAACTTAATAGAGTGATAAACAAATAAAAAACAAGATTTAAATTATCTATCTTTCATCCAGATCTGGTATTTTTCTGAAGTTTCATCTTAAGAATTCTTCATTATCTGTTGCTTTGTCATGTATCAAAATGCATCCTGCATGATTACTAAGGTGTGATTCACTTGGGTTTTTCATACCCTGCAATATGTTTTTCTCCAGCTAACCATTACCTCTGAGGATCAGCAAGAGGCTGCTGGGTTTCCTGCGTGGAAAGTAAGTTTTCAGCACAAATCTTATTGTGCATGCATAAGATTTCATGGGTATTCAGTGTTCTCTGTGCTGTCCTTGCTACAAAAGATAGTGGCCTTTGGTTTGACTGCTGAAAGATTCTCTAATGTCTCCATTTAGAGCTTTTTGAGAGGAAAAAATTTCTCCCTTTAAAATAAAAAGGCAAGGAATGGTTGGGTAATGAAATTATATATATTAAATGCTGTCCCTTTGTGTTTTTTAAGAAGTAACAGTCATTCTGTACAGGCTAGGTGAGGTTTCCCAGATGACTTGAGAATGCTAAGGAGGTAAGGTAGTTAATAAACCCAAGCACCAATGCTATTGCTTGGACAAACTGTTTCCTACCAGGTGGTTTTGCTTATCACTATGGAAATAAACTGCTACAGTGGGAGTCTTGTTTACTCTTTGGATGACTCCTCTCTCTGTAACTTGTAATTGCTAAGTAGTGGGATGCTTTGCTTTAATACAAGAGAAGAACAGACAGGGCAAAAGTAATAGTGGTGGGAGCAGACACATTCTGTTTGTTGTACTTTCATCTTGCAAAGTAACATGACTTAAGTTTTGAAATATCCTAAACTGAGGAAAAACTAGATGGGGGTTTTGATCTTCTTAGCATTATATAATTTTTTTTGGTGTCTTGCTTAGCTCTACAGAAAAACTAACATAGATTTGAGTCTGATGAAAGAAGAAAAAGCCCAGATTACTAGCACAGTACTGAAGAGAAATGGAATAGTAGTAAATAACTTCCAGAGGGCATTTACTTGAAAACTGCTGGCCCAGAATTGGGTAAAATGAAGGTAAGGTAATCATCTTACCCTTTAATTAGTATTTCGTAAAGATATAATTATTAATATCAGAAGTTACTGTAAAATTTATATCCAAGCATTCAGAACAAAGGAATGTTAGCTAGCAGATATAGTTCTTCCCTGATGTAACATCGTGTTCATCTTCTGTTAAACTTAGAATCATAGAATTGTTTGAGTTGCAAGGGACCCTTAAAGGTTATCTGGTCCACCTCCCCTGCATGAACATGGATACCACAGTAGATCAGGTGCTCAGAGTCCCACCCTGCCTGACCTTGGATGTCTCCAGGGACTGGGCATCCATCACCTCTCTGGGCAACCTTGAGCTTGCTGACTGTGCCAGACCAGTCAATACTTTGTACACGTTGTAAGTTTCTCTTCCTCAGTTGATTCTTTGCACATATGTAGATGAGGTTCCTGTATTTCAGTGAAGGGAAAGATATTTAAATATTGTATGTGTAGTTATTAGAAAATTAAACCTCAGGAAGAAATGAACATAAAAATTCCTTGGTAAAAGGAAGTCAGATGGCTGCTAATAAGGTAGGAAACCATTTGGCTCTTGAAGAAATGCAGCACAAGTGGCTGAGCAGAGGCAGTTAAAGATGGCTGGGAGTGGGGTGAGGTGCATCTCTGAGAGTGGGGTGCATGTGCATCTCTGAGAGAAGGAACTGGCTCCAGCTGCACTTGGTTGCAAGCATACAATTAGGCAATTTGTTGAACAGAAGCAATGCAGTGGCATCAAGGACATGTGGGAATATATGCTGATGATAAATTTGATTCCAAATTTTTTTTTTTGCTTTGGATCTTCAAAATTCTTCTGTAAGACAAAGATTGTGATTCTTTGTGTTTGGAAGAAGCAAACTGGAGCAGTACAGCTGTGACTAACAGGTGGCAAGCAATCATTTATGGGGTAGGCTGCAAACTGCTTGTGATTCCACCTGGCCTGTTGATACTAGTATTCCTGCAGCCCGTCATCCTCTTTTACTAACACAGACTGACAGCAGACCACCATCTAGCTGTCATGCAGCTGCTCCATGCCTGCTTGCTGCCACACATTCATGTCTTCCTTGCTTTCTCCATTTCTTTTGAGCTTATTCTGAGATATTGTCAGTAGGGCTTTCTTTCTCCAGAAAACACATGTACATGATTAGTTATTTTCAGCGTGGAAGCTGAGAATTTGCAAGCATACATGCTAAAACTTCTTAGAAGAATGTCTCCAAGGCAACCATTTTAATCTTTTAATCAAGATGATGGATGACAAAATAGTTACAAAAATGTAGTTACTCTTATTGCATTCCATAGATTTTGTAGGTCTTTAAGGCTACACTTGTAATCTAACTAATGCTGGGATCTAAGCCTGGGCTAATAACCGGATTGTTAGTTCAGTTCCTGGCGCAGTTTTGGCATGTGCCAACTTGCACGTTTCCCCAGCAATGCTTGGATCCAACCCAGAGCTCTGTTTCATCTGGGCACTGATCCCAGATGGCAGGAGATGAAAGCTGGACTTTGTCCCTCAGTCTCAAGGCCAGAGGATGAGCCTTGACCTCTTCTATTTACTAGTATAGTAGTTGTCTAATGTTATTAAATTTGTTTCCAATGAAAAATGTCAATGACTACTTATCGAGATAGAATGACTTAGCATTGCCACCATAATGTACAGCAAAGGGACAGGATCCATCTTTGAGGGAAAAGGTGAAGCATGCTTTATGAATTGTTATACAAAATAACCTGTGTAAAGGTCTTGCTTCATGCAACCAAAGCTTTATGTGGAATTGCGTGAGGAATTAATGACAGAGGAAACGGTCAGAGTAGTACAGAGTAGCTGGGAGATGTACCTGGGGATGATATTCCCTGGCTGGGTCCTTAATGCTGCAGATGGGCAGCAAATCCAAGTACTGCAGCTGAAGGGAGTGATGTGAAAGAGAGCTGCAGTAAAACCAAGGAAAATGATACAGCCTCCTTTGTCTTTTTGCTGGTCTCTTCCGATTCTGTGATTTGTGTCTCTGCTGTGAAACCTGTAAATGAATGAAGCCATTTGCTGGGATAAGCAAATCAGTGACATTCAACAGCTGGACACAGAGGAATGGAAGTGTAATAAAGACTTCTTTGTGAATTGAACTTGCTTCTTGCAAGTGTTTTCTTGATGCTGCCTGAAGCGATCCAGTGAATTATGTTTGCCACAAAAAAAAAAGAAAACCATGCTAGGCCAGCAACTAACCACAAAAAATAATAATTTCTTTATTTTCTCCATTGCATGTACATAAGAGAGACTAATCTTGATGGCATAAGTGAGGTTTTTGGCAGATATGTTCAGTTTGAATTGAAGCCTATGCATATTTGCAGATTGAAAGAAGAGGAAATACTAATCTGGTAATGAAGCCCCTTATTCTAATATGTACACAACATTTATAACATAGGTCTTAAGGAAAGTAGAAGCGTTGAGATAAAACACATTTTAAAAACAAAGAAACACGTTGTGGCATTTGCTGGATTTTGAACAGGAAATGGAAAATACACATAGCAAATATTTATTAAATTATAGTTTGCTAGAGAATGATTTCTTCACTGTGGCCAAATGTATTTCAACATTTGTGACAATGCTAACAACTAAAGTTCTGATTTGAGTTTTAAAGTCCGTGAATTATATGACTGCATCATAAAAGAGTGTATCCATGCTAAACGTTTTGATAATCAGCAGTACTGTGAGAAGAAAATGATGTGCTCTACAACTTAATTTGAATTTTGGTAATCTAATTACACTTTTGGAATTTGCACTGAGGGTTCTGCAGTCTGTCTTATTCTGCTCAAAAGGTTGGTCAACTTATTGTCATCACCATTTTTGGAGTACTAACAATAAAACATTTGTCTTCTGCTTACCAAGTGCTGGTGAAAATTGTTGTTGCATCCAAGTGTATATGGAAATGAGATCTGTTCATTTTTATGTGGTTATGTACAAATATAAACAAATATGGAGCCATAAATGTCAGCTTTAACCTTTAGCTATAAGGTCTCTCAGCCTGGAGGGAATATTGGATAAAAGAGAAATAAAATTGAAATGGAAATAAAAAATATATTTTTTGGGTGTGATGTAATTTTAGACGCTACCAAGCCCATGCAAATAAATTAATAATAACATTAAATCTGCTAAACTAAGCTTTCCAAATGGAAGGCAGATGCAGACCTGTGTTATGAATGCTATGTCTGTCTTTCAGATTCAACCAGTTGTTTCTCCTTAAAAGAAAAGCATGCAACAAGAGCAATGAGAATCAAAGTAAATTATTAAACAGAGAACTCAAATTTAGGAACGCGTAAGAGGAGGAATATTTATTTCTCCAAAAGAAAGAACTCTGTTTGCAAGAGGATGTAAATCCTTATATTGTCAGTCTTGTTAGCTGTACTCGTTATCACCACGCTTAATAGTCTTGCTCCTGGAATCACTCTGCTCCTGTAGAGACTTTATTTCTGAACATTCTTAAGATGAATAAGTCATTGTGTGTTGTATACAAGATCCACTGAATAAAAAAAATCTACCTTTTGAGTTAATTTTTTTAATATAACATTCCAGGCCTACTGAAATTGTGAGCTTTTAAGGTAGCATTAAAGGCACTTTAATAAGCTGCAACACTTTGTGACTCCCTGTTCTCTCTATATTGCTTAATGGTCTTAGGATTTGCTACCATTAGGCTAAATTGAACTAATGCTTGGAAACTAACTTTGGTAACTGGGAGGAAAGGGGGAAATGTCATTCATTAGACATTAATTGTTTTTGCTTTTCATATCTCACTTTAAAAAATCTCTAGAGAAATATACTGAATGCTATGTTTTGATCGGAACAGAGAGAAAACAGCGAAGCTGAAGGAGAAGCCTTTCACCTGGACTTTTGGGATCTTAAGAGCAATGGAGCATTAAGACAATTTGCACTAGGAGGACCATTCTAAAGCTGATGTTCTCAGGGCTTTCAGCTCTCATTATATGTGAACCACTTGTACCACGTTCGATGCCAGCTTGCTCTAAACAAAGATGTTGGCATTAAAAACAAAGTTATAGCAATGTCTACCAAACTCAAGGAGTTATCTGCTTTCCAAAAAAAGTCTTCCTTTTATTTCCTCATTTGATGAATTTCCTGGGGCTTTCTAGGCTGAGGGAGTGGCTTTACTCATTGCAGATGGTAGAAAACAGTGTTCAGTAGGAGATGAATGATAGAAAACAAATCTTTGCTTGCTGTTATTTACTGTTCATTCTTTAGAGGCCTTAGTTTGGCAGCCTGCCTCATCATTGGTGATTCCTCAAGAATGCTCCCCTGCTGTGTTCTGCTTGGGCCGGGTATGACGGGATGGGATTTGATGAGATGGAATGTGCACTGGAGTGGAAGATCCAGGAGTACTGCTTGCTGTTTGTCCTGTTCCCTCTGATGGCAGTTGCTTTCTAGTGCCTACTAAATGAGGGATCAACTTCTGATGTCCAGCTACATGTCCTGTCTCATTTCTTATCTGAGTATTCATTAGTTTTGCTGCGTTTCATAGTTTGCTGATGGGACAGTGCTAGAAAACTTGAGCAATTACCACTAACTGAGTACTTACGCACCAAGTTTGTGGTTCAAACAACTTTCCAGTCCTGGAGACAGATAGATAGTCAAAAGCCAAATGTTACGATGCATGTTTTTATTAGTGTCTACTTCCCTGAGAAATGTGCAGTTTGCATTTTTTCTCAAGAAGTCCTGAGCCCAAGAATGAGTTTAATGTTGTTTTTAATAGAAAGGTCAGTGATGGCTGGCTGCATTTCAGAAATTCCTTTGTGAAATGAATTTCTTTCAACAGAGTTGCCAACAAGCAGTGATCCAAGCCCAAGTGAGGTCAGTTCACCTGCCCAGGGGATTGCAATGGCTCAGATTGTAACTGGGATTTCTGAAAAGCTGGCATTCTACATACCAGTCAGCCAGGCCTGAATGTGGAGATGAAAGGGCATTATTCTATGATTTGTCACTGACTCTTCTCTAATGCTTATTATTCTTCAGCTACTCCTGAGCACCATTTGCTGCATCCCCATGTCTGCCCTGGTGTAAGCTCTGCTGCACTCCAGGTCTCCTCCACCCTCTCTCTACCAGTTAACTTTTTGTCCTCAGCTTTGATTTGGTTACAATTCACTCCACTCCAAATTTGCTATGATGCTGCTTATATCTTCTGTTCCAAACAAACACCCTCAGCTCAGCCACTCGTTCAACTTGCAGGAACTTTGTTTTGTTGGAATTTGGAATCCCTATGCAGGCATCTATTGATACCAAAGTTCAAAGCAGCAGTCATAAAGACCCCTTAGTTTGCAGCAATCATGGAACATCTCGAGTTGGAAGGGACCCATAAGGATCATCAAGTCCAAGCTCTTTCTTGTTTTGTTGTTGATACAGATGCCATCTAAAAATATTGGTGAGATAGGCAAAGATACCACGTTCTTCTTGGCACAAGGGAACTCTCCCAGTAGAAGACAGATTTTTTCACATGATGCAAACAACATTTTGAGAGTGGACAGTCTTCCACATCCCAGGGCAGACCATAGTTCACAACTGCAGAAAGAATGATTATAGAATCATAGCATCTTTTGAGTTGGAAGGGATTTTTTGCTGCCATTTATGTTTTTTCACCATCTGAATTTAGAACCTCCCTTGAGAGATATCTCCTTATAAGAAGTATTTTTTATTCTATTTCTTGATTGCCTTGACTTAATAGAGGTCTTTTCCCAGCATTTGCTTGTTTTTCATTTGGGTACAGGTGTCATAATCTCTCTGTTAACCCAGAAAGTTGGTTTCAGATAGGTAAGAACCTCCTCTAGAGAGAATGTCTTCGAAATATTTTGTTTAAATTTTCCTATAAACCTTCCACTTTCACTGCAATAGTTGCAATATCCTGTTTTGGATTCTAGACAATAAAGTAACAACATTGGTTTTAAATATTTCATTCCCCAGAAGGTTCACATGAGCACAGGGTGTGCAAGACCAAGGCCCTGCGTGTGGCCCTGCCCACAGCTGTGGGTTAAGTACTCCATGCTTGCATGATAAGAGCAGAATACAAATGGGTGTTTAGAGAGAAGTCTTTCCAGGAGAAAAAATAGTTCTTAGTGGGTAAGCAAATGAGATTAAGCTCATATGTTTGTGTTTACTTTCTTTCCTCCCTTCTCATTTTCCCACATTTACTGTGATTTTCTTTGATACTTTCTCTATTTCTCTGAGTATCTGATTTATTTCCCTGGTTATGGAAAGCTATCTGGCAGTGAATAATAAATATACTTTGCATTGAAGAGTAGCTGATACTATATGCCAGCCAGGGAGATAGTCTGCAGCATGGCTTGTACCACCTGGTTTGACCCAGGGAGTCAATCAAGCAGTGCATTATCATTTCCACCACAGGGAGAGGTTCACTATCAACCTGATTCAGCTGCAGTCAGCCTTGACAGGAGAGATCCCTAATAATTATTTTAATCACCCACCTGATTTTGTTTAAATGAAGCCAATTAAAGGATCTTTTCTCAATAGAAAAAGCTGTGCTCAGCTAGTTGTAGAAACACATGTAAGATATGTGAAGAGGTGGGGTATATATATATATATATATATATTTCTTTCTTCCCTCATTCATTCACTGGGATGCTAGGGTATCTGTTTATTGTTTCCTTTTTCTGTCTTGGTTTTTCTCATGTATTTTGTTACTTATATATATATTTTTATTTAAAACTCCTGTAGAGCTGATGAACCACAGGCTGCCCGTAGAGAAGAAAACTTGGTTGTAATTTATAAATAGAAATACGGTGTTTTAACTCCTAGGATATGAAGTTTTGATTTTAAGGGAATTCTTTCACGTTGAGTCTTGAACTGTGTCATTTGTTTACAGAGACTTTGTATTTACAGATCTGTGAACATATGACCTGTTGTGCAATTGATTTGATTTTGAAAAAGGTAAGGTCTTTGTGTTGTAACCTGTGGTGTTTGTCATTCCTGCAGTCATACTGAAGTGCAAAAACAGCTTAATCTTAAAAACACCTGGTAGTCTACCTGCAACGTGACCATGAAAATATGTTTAAAACTAAAAAATGACATCCCTAATGGATTCTCTATTAGAAGGGAATAAAACTACTGAGGAGATGTTCAGGATAAACTTCTGAAAATAATTCCTCTGCTGTGATTTCTAGAATTCTTGAGCAGCCTCACTTTAAGTGCTTTGCTGGGCAATTAGGTGGGGCCATAAGAAAAGAGGAAACAGACTATTTAGCAGGGTCTGCTGAGATAGGATAAGGGGAAATGGTTTCAAACTAAAAGAGGGGAGATTTAGATTGGATATAAGGAAAAAGCTTTTACTATAAGGGCATTGAGGTACTGGCACAGGTTGCACTGAGTGGTGGTGAATGCCTTGTCACTGAAGACATTCACAATCAGGCTGGAAGGGGCTCTGAGCATCTGATAGAGCTGTAGGTGTCCCTGTTCATTGTAGGTGGGGTTGAACTAGACGGCCTTTAAGGGTACTTTCCAACTCTAATGATTCTATGAATTTGTTCCCTTCATTGTTCTTTGAAATATGTCCTGTCCCTTTGTCAATGAAAGAGAGAAAATCTCTTCACCAATCCTGTGACACTGCATTTTCTTCCCCAGTAGAGTCATTTTGGCACTGCATTAGGGGCTTTTTGTTAAAGGCTGAACTGGGCTGCTTACAACATGAATTTTAATTTTCCTTGCTATTTAGATGTTAAGATGAGCAAATCTACAGCTCCTATTCTTATCTCTGCTGATGTCTGAGATAAACTTCGAAAGAAACAACCAAAACCTTCTTGAGGAGACCTGGTCCCGCAAGAGGTGCAAAACTGCAGTGATGTTTTCTGAAACCCACTTGGGCATGCTTTTGACATTGCCTTGTGTGGGCAGTTGAAACAACTTCCTCATTGTCTCTCCTTGCAAATCAAAGTCCAGAGTCATGGGGATGCTTGTAAACCTGACACAGACGCCTGAAAGTCACCCATGTTCCAGCTGGCAAGTGCCATGCACTTGCTTAGCATATGCCAGTGCTGTGCATCCTTGCGTGCATAGCTGGGAAAGACACCCAGACAGCACTGAACACACACTGCTGACATCCCAGAGCAAATCAGCTTTAGAAAGTAACAGACCCCTTCTGGATTGCTAGACCCACACCCTTGCATTTGTGGTGGTTGTTTTGGTTGGATATTTCAGTTTTAAAGTAAGAGGTGGATTTGTTGGCTGCTGTATCTGGACAATGTGGTATAATCTGCTATTTCAGATTTTGTTTTTCAGCAAGCCAGCATACAGGATTTGACCGTTTGTGTCTAAAACACAGGAGAGGACAAAGACCACCATGAAGCACAGCTCTCTCAAGAAAAATAAACAGCATCACACTACAAAGCCCATGGGAACTATTAGATCCTGTGGAGGAAAGGTCAACTAAGGCTTGTAAGGTTGAAGTCGCTTTCAAGTTTTTTTCTTACTGATCTGCTTCTTCTTGCACAGGGATTCATGTATGCAGGACTTATTGGCCTGGAGGAGCTGTGAAGCTGCTGTGTCTCCTCTTTCAGGGCCACCTTCAGCACAAAGGTTTCCTGGGTGTCTCCAAGCTGCTGGTGTGGCCTTCACTGTCCCTAGAGGTGCATGTATGTCATGCCTGGTGTGGATCAGAGAAGTGGGCTCCTCTTGCTCTGTACTGCTGAGCACCTACGTGATTCATATTGGTCTATGGGATGTAGCTGTCCTCCTTACGCACAATGACTGTGATGGCAGCTGCCTTCAGACGGGCTGGGAGAAGACACTGAAGTATATGAGTTGCATGATTACACCTTTCTCCTCTTCCAGTCCACAGCAAGTTTGTGAGTCCTGAGGATATGACAATTAATGCAGCTCTTTAAGTTGCTCTTTGAAGGAAGAGATTCAGGATGCTTGTGGGAGACGCAACTATCATTAAGTATGTAGAAAACAGACTTATTGTTTAGAAGGTTAAATTTTGTTCTTAATTACAAATGTCCTTTTTTAATAACAATTTTTGAATCTTAATTCCCTGAAGAATTAATATTCCGTAAGTCTGGATAATGAGGCTATGCCTAATTTATGCAATTTAGATGCAAATGATCGTGGTGGTGTGCAAATGTCCCAAATCGGGTGGAAGGCAGACAGACACTGTTGGCACAAAAAAGCTATATGGAAAAAATCTTCTTCTTATTAGGATGAATATTTCAAGGGTTCAGGTCCTCAAAGACCTTCGTCATGCCAGTCCGTTAACCTTGCTATAAGCCTCTCATGAGAGCCCATGTCTGTGGGATCATTCCCATGAGAAGATCTGAATTGCTGTTGTTGCTTAAGAATAGAAAAGCTGGAATCTGAGACAATACAGGATTTTTGGGAAGTAGGAACCACAATAATTCAATACAAAGGAAATCAGAAATAAAGCTGCGAAGTATTTATTGGCAGCATTGAGTCTGCTTCAGAAGGCTATTTTAAAAGTGTGCAGTAGAGATATGCCGCCTACCAGATCAGTTTTTTTAAAAGACTGAAAACTCTGTTGTGGTCAGACATCAAGGCAGTTGAAAACTGCTAAATGACATTAAAGGCATCTTTTAAAAAATGGAAGTAGTATCTGTACTAAAATAGGGAAAACATAACCTCTAGCAAGTTGGGTGTTGAACTGTAATAAAATAAAACAACAAAGAATTAGAGGGGAAATCTAAATGTATGAAGGTTGCTATAATACCTTTCTCAAAAGCATCAAGGCAGGAAGATGGACAAAAAGTCAACAGGGCCAATATGTGATGAAGGTGTAGAAAAAGAACTCTGTGAAGACAAGACATTTCAGCAGAGCTAAAAGATGTGTTGCTATTAGTGCTGGTCACTAGGACGTGGACACTGGGGTCATTCTTTGCAGGAGATGAATGTGAGAAACTGATTGAAGGTCCATAGGAAGGGTTTGGAATAAATGAGTAAAATGAATCTAAGCAGTTCCCAGGACAAGAAGAAATTCATGCAGGAGCTTTGAGTGTATTTTGGTGCAAATCTACAGTCCTATTTGAGTTACTGCATAAAGCACTTAATGACAACAACAACAACAACAAAAGGCTACAAATGGGATACCAGTCCTTAAAAAAGAATTGAGGATCAGTCTGAAAAACTGGAAATTGATGGATGTGAGTCTGACATTCATATTAAGCAGATCAGGAGAAGCTACAATAAAGACAGTGGAAGGTAGAAGGAGCAATGTTTTCACTCATAAAGAAGGCTCTTTCTATGCATCTTGGTGTCCATCACTGGTCATAGATGGCAAAATAGGGATGTTCCTAAACACAGAGATGTAGGGACAGCCAGGGTGAAGTCTTACAGACAACAAGAAAGCTTTGTTGCAGTTACAATACATGATGTGGGAAAACCCGAAAGGCTTTTGGAGGTCTTTGACAGAGATAGCATTGTGTTCTGCTGTTTTATGAATGCATATGTAAGAGCAAAATCATGACATAGCTTGATCTCCAGTGTGCACCCAGGTTTTGTTGGCAAGTCTTCACCGATGAAGGAGGTAACACTGGTGCAGTATGAGAAGGGCAGGCGGGAGGCACAATGCTGTTGTAAAAGTATGCTCTGAGGAAGTCAGGCTTTGAGGGAGAAAGAAATGAGAAAAATTCTTTTATTTAACTAAAAGACAGAAGTAGCTGGACAAAAGAGAGGGAGGTTATTTGTGGGATATTATCTGGTTTTGGTCTTGTAACATAATAGACAGGTGAAGAAGAGGTGAATAACTAAACGATTGATGATAATGCAGATAAAAAATAGGTTCTCAGAATGGCCTTATGTTAACCAGGAGGAGTTGCAGAGTCAATTGATTAATAAAATGGTAACTAAAATTCAATGTCAGTAATTATAGAGCAAAAACAAACAAACAAAAAAAACCCAACCCAAACTGAAAACCTCTAAGTATAAAGATTCACAGTAAAGGATTTGGAAAGAGACTCTTTATAAGGGCATGAAGTGATTGGATTAGGGGCATGGCTTTAAACTAAAAGAGGAGATTTAGGTTAGATGTTGGGAGGCAGTTCATTGCTTGGAGGGTGGTGAGGCACTGGCACTGCTGCATGGGCAAGCTGTGAGTGTCTCATCCATGGAGGCTTTCAAGGATGGATTGGATGGGTTCCTGGGCAGCCAGAGCTGATGGGTAGGAGCCCTGCCCATGGTGGGGGGTTGGAACAGGGTGGATTTTAATGTCCCTTCCAACCAAAGCCAATCTGTGATTCTATGATTTAATTCCCTAGTACTACTCAGCAAAAATGCAAGAGTTAATGTGGGTAGTTTTCTGAAAGCATCAGTTCAGTGGTTGTGAAGAGTCAATGCAAATTGAATCAGACAAACATTCATGAAAGGACCTCAGAATGAACGGGGGCTCACGGCTGTGCTGCGGGGCAGAGCTGTGATGTGTCTGCACATCAGCACTGTGGATGCCTCACCACTGGGCCTGAGCTGGTGCTGGTCTGCAGCGCCTGAGGAGTAATGCTGATCCAGAAGGCCTATGGATGAGTGGCTGGCTGCCTATAGGAAACAACTTGTAGGTTCAATTTTGCATCTGTGTCTTTGGGATTTTGTATGGAATAGTGCATATTAGGCCATCATTTTTTTTTCTTAGTATTTCATCTTCGGCCTCGTGGGAAAAAATTATTTTGTCTGTATTTCTTGCCTTGAAGAAAGAGTGAGGATAAGGCAGTCGTTCTGGAGTGTGCTCCTTTCCTCCCACATCGGGGTTACCATCCTGAGGTGTTCGACCTCTGTCAAGAGGGATGAGCTGGGCTATCAGGTTTGAATTAGCAATAACATTCAGGCTTTTCTCTCACAAATCTGCTTACAGAAAGTCTGCTCATTTTATTCTGCTATTTGGTGCCTCTCTCTGTTTCTCTTTATCTAAATATAATGGCCTTTGAAGCAAACCTGATTTCTCTGATTGCTATTACACAGAATACAGATAAATTGCAGTAAATCTGTACTGCAAGTCCAGTGTGTTGTCAGAGTTTTTGTTTTGGCTTGATCATTCGCCTTTACCTACAGGGCAGAGTGTTTGCTCTTAATTTTTTGTATTAGTTTCAGTGGTAACCTCCTGCAAGGGAGTTGTGAGTACAGAAGTATTAGCTTGCTAATATCCTAAATGGATTAGCTAGGTGAATATAACAAAGTTGGTATAACGTGTTAAAATTGCTGCAGTGTGTCTTACATTGTGCTGCAGTTGTCTGTTGTGTGTTGCTGCAATTTGTACAGAGATGGAGGGTCAGGTAGGTAGATATGGATTTTAAAAGTTAGAAAGAAAAACTATATCACAAGTGAAGACAGTTCATTTTCTCTACCAGTAACAAAACAGGCAGTTTCATTGGTTAGTTTGCCCTTTGTAGTTCTTTAAAATTGTTGCTTGTATTAAGTTGCAGCAGGTTCACATTTTGCAAACTGGAGACTTTTTGTTGAGCTCCTCATCTCGGCTCAAGGGCACTTTTTGAAGCTCTCAGCTAATCTCTGTTGAAACTCAGTTTCAATGACATTTTGGGAAATCAGGAGCTGTTTGTGATGTCCAGAAATGACAGCACGAGGGTGTGAGTGTGCTGTTCTCCAGCTTCCTGCTGGCTCTGCGCACTGAGCACTCCGTAGGCTTTGAGTCTGTAGATCTGCAGGGACACAGCCCTTAGCTGTTCATTGAAGTGAGCGGAGCTGCTCATGGGAGCAGGAATCACGCAGCCAGACCTGGCAGCACTGCAAACATGAGATTCAAGGTGAGGCTTCCATACACTAGGCTTTTGTTTATCAACATTTTGCTGCTAATTTATAAGCAAGACTGTATTTATTCTCCATAAAAATGCTAATAAATTCGCGTTCACTCACGCATCAGTGAGATAACTTTATATTCCACATTGACACCATTCAAAGGTAATCACTTTACTGTGGTATATTTGCTATACTCTGTGCCATCGGGTTTGCCCTGCACTTGTCATTTGCTCAGCATTTTGCTATGCTGAATGAACAGAATGTCACCAAGAAACTCGGGAACCTTCAGAGTGTTTTAAAAGGATTTAAGTGGGAGAGTTGAACTCACCTTTGTGTTGTTTGGGATCTGCTTGTTCCAGCTTTTTGCCCTGAAGCACCCACGTTCATACTTTATTTACAGATCTCGACAGGCTTTGCCTTGTCAAATATTTTGAATTCCCTAATGAGGTGTGTAATGTCTCTTATATAAGCTCTGGTTCTTTACTATGAATTCCTCACTGGTTTGTGATGAGAGAAATTTTCTCTTCATCCATCTCATTTCTCTTTTCTTTTTTTTTTTTTTTTTTTTTTTAGGAATTGAGAAACGTAACATTTGCCTGCTTCACTTACACCATGTCCTAACTGAAACAAGGAAATCCCATGCAATTGCCCTTCTTCATCTCATCAGTTTGGTTGTTTGAAACTAATATCAGACACTACTAGTTTTGATAGCACATACTGTAGTGGGGCCAGAGACTGTTCATCAGAAAATGGACTGTGAGCAAATCATGTCAAGTGACTCCTGGTGAGGTGCTATATAACAATAACTCTCTCTCAATTACTCTACTGAGAAGAGTTAGAGGACAGAAATGTGCAAACCTATAAGGTACCATTGAGAGAAAGAAACACAGCTCCTCTGAGATTTCTTCTTTGTCCTGGATGAAATCTTCATTAATGCTTTGATAGACTAGATATAAAGTCTGAGCGATTTCTCTTTATGGACCAGATCTCCAATTCTTGTTTTATGAGTTTCCTCCCAGGCAGAGCTGCTTGGGCTGCTTCATTAGCGTCTTGTCAGAAAAACAGTTGGGAGGACATTAATCTGAAGCTCAAATGCCATGTCGGTGAGCAAGCAGGGGGCTGTGCTGCAGATTTCAGAATGTACTTGGTGGAAGAAATGCAAAGACATCTTTTATCGGTGAGAGAATCTTAAAGTTTTACGTATAAACATTTCAGTCCTTTATTTACATACGATCTTAAAATAGTTTACAGTAGGTGCCATCTGTGAAGGACTCTTTGTTAATCTCATGCTGTGGATAAATGTGTTAGAACAAAACTTTACTTTCATAGCAAATATGTGGATTCTAACTTATGAATTAGTTAGGCAAGTGAAGAGAAAGGCAACTCCTCCGGGAGCTAATGACAGCAAGGCATTTTTGGAGCCCCACCCAGAGTGCAGAACACATTGCTTAGTAGCAGTGCACAGTGGGAGAGCCCTTTTTATTGGCATGCAAAAAATTGTAATTTTTGCCTGCAATTATCATCTATGTGAAGTCACTTCCTCTCACCACAGTGCAATAAATCAGTGTGCTCAGGAAACTGATGTGGGTTAAAATCATAGAATTGTTTGAGGGGCATTTAAAGGCCATCTGATCCAACTCTCCTGCAATGAACAGGGACACCTACACTACACTAGATCTGGTGCTCAGAGCCCCATCCAACCTGACCTTGAGTGACTCCAGGGATGAGGCATCTACCACCTCTCTGGGCAACCTGTGCCAGTGCCACACCACCGTTGTTGTTAAAAACTTCTTCCTTGTATCCAATCTTAAATTCTCCTTTTTTATTTCCCCTTGTCCTAACACAACAGACTCGGCTAAAGATAAAGAGTCTGTCCCCTTCCTTCTTACAGCCCCCCTGTAGATACAGACAGGCTGTCATCGGCTCTCCCCAGAGCCTTCTCTTCTCCACGTTGAACAGCCCCAGCTCTCTCAGCCTGTCCTTGTAGAGGAGGTGTTCCATCGTGGGAATCATTTTTATGGCCCTCCCCTAAAGCAGAATTCTTAAGTGCAGGGTAGTAGAGGAATATGGTGTGGTGTTTGTGCCAGGTACTTCAGCTCTCACTGCTGTAAGGAGTGACTGCCTCAGCTGCTGTCCTGGCAGTATGGGCTGTGCCTGATGGAAGTGCTTCCATTTCTAGGTTCAGCATCTGAATGTTCTAAATTAAAATAAATACTTCATGTTTCAGCCCATTAATGATGCTAGCTTTTATATAGATGCATTAAAATCTGAACTCACAGTGCCACAAACCTTTTTCAACTACTTAATGCTGGGCAGGGTAGGAATAAAAATAGTAAATAGTAATTGTTGTGTGTCACGTTACTTTGTAGGTACAGAGAACTGCACTCACTTCAAGGCAGAAAGCACAGAAAGCAACCAAGGGAATTATTTCTTAGCTAGAAAAATCCAGCTATGTGAGGTTTGAAATCATGTTCTCATTGGCCACATGTGCACTGCTGACCCAGCTGGCACCCAGGGGCTGACCCCAAGCTGTGGTTCACGTGCACCTATCAGGCCCTTTCCATGCTTCTCAAATGCCCTGGAGTGACCACACAAGGTAGCACTGCTTGTCCTTGGGATCTCCTACCCTGCAGTGCTTTCAGCATTATTAACAACATCCTTTGTGGGAGAAATGTTTTCTGCATGATCTACCATGTACATCTACCTAAGTGGCCCTGCTTTACTCTGTTCATGATTGACAGTGTGCAATTACTAGAAGCAAAAGAAGGGAAGAGTATTTATTTTGTTTACCTGGACCTTGTCTAGACCTCTAGAGTCCCAACCAGTCCCAGCGCTTCCTGAGAGCTTTCCTGAGTTTGAGCAAGCTGTGAGCAAAGAGTAAAGCTCTACCAGGTGAGCCTCTGCTGGGACCTCTGGTTAGGGCATGCAGGGATCCTGCACCTTGTCTGTTTTGCTTCCTTAGGCTCAGTCTCCCTCTGAACAATAGTCTCAGCAGATGTCCCCAGCACACTCGCTGGCTGTTTAGGCTTCTCAGTAGATGGGGAAGTGAGACTTTTCCTGCCTGGGTGCTGCAACTGGATTTCAACAGCTTCCTCGTGGAACTGAGTCATGAGTGAGAATGTACACTGTGGAGTGATAAACACTCTGGGCAAGATTCCGACTGGGACTTCTGACATTAGTCATCTAATGTATGTGTAGATGAGGTTACTAAGCTCCCATTACAGCTGATGAAGTTCTGGTTTGCAAGTCTCAGGGGAGACATGTCAAGCACAGATAGCAGGGTCTGGAGATAGAATGTGCCCACGATGAGGAAGTCATTGAGAGGCCCTGTTCATTTGTCCCCTTCCTAGTGCTGATAACAGCATTCTGAGATGCCTGAGGCTACCTGATGCATCTGTGTACAGCTTGCCTAGAGGATACCCTGGCTCCTCTGCAGCAGCAGCTGGAGGCTAGCCGGAGCACTCCAGGGCATTTCAGTGGCACTGCGCTAGGTGTCAATTCTTCGGCAGCTGAATAAAGGATTGGCCCTCTACTGACTGCAATAGGAATTGAAATGCCCAGCTCATAAACAAGGGTTTGCAAATGAATGCTTAAATGTAGATGTTTCAGTCTCACACTGAATCTCACCTTTGATTCTGGCAAGAGCCAAAAGCCATTTTTATACTCTAAGTAACTTTACATCTGTAATACCCAATTCCCCAACCAACTTCTCCTTGGTCTCTCTCCCCTTTGTCTCTATGGACTGCCCAAGGCACAGGAGTAGAGGACTGCCAGCTGCTGTATGTGTGTGTGGATGAGGACGGACCCTTTCCCTGTATTTGTTGTGTATGTTCAACCTTATCACCACAGCCATTCAGATCCAAATCTTATATACAGAATACACTGACACCTACCAGATTTGTTTGGGAAAGAACTCCTTCACAGTATGCTACTTCCATGTACCTGTCCCTGCTCCTACTGCTCCTTCTCAGCTAATAACTGATTGCCTTGTCAGCTGAGAATGTGCTCATAAGCAACAGACACAAATTGCACTGTTGAGAAATTTTCACATACTGCCTATTGGATCTGAAGAGTGTTTTGTTTAAGAGACTGCAAGCTACTATCAAAGAGAAATGCACAGCAGTGCTTTTGTTTGGGCCTTCAGTAAAAGGAGTTGAAGTTCTGAAAAAGATCAGGTAGAACTGAGACAATAAGCAAGAAAGAACTGAAGGTGGCACTGTAGGAAAAGACATTCTCCTCAAAAAATAGCGATGCTAAGTATGTGATTGCTGGTTCCGTTTGAAAAGAGAAAGATTGTATGACGTTTGCTCCTTCTCACCTATTGCTGGTTGTACACTCTCCTCAGAGCAGAAGGGGTTTGAGGAGAGCATCCATGAACTTGGTGTCCTTTGCCACAGAAGAGATGCACATCTGTACACATAGCAGTGTGCAGGTGGAGCTCAGTAGCCAGTGGAGAGCCTACAGCTGCAACCAGATGCGGGAAACAGCTGCTCAGACACCAGTGTGCTGGTTCCAGAGTGGTGCCAGATACAAAAGGATCTGTCCATAGCTGAGTGTCTTACAGATATAGATAGGAAGAAGCATCTTTTAACAGGGAGCCTAAAATAAAAAATATCATATATAGCATGAGGCTGGAAAACATCCGGTAATTTAACTCCAAATGTACCTTTTCACCCTAGAATTGAAAGTCAAATTCCCCAGTCAAAGAGAGTGATCAGGTGACTCTCTGGTGAAACGGATGGCAATCAGAGATCCTTTTAGTCATTCCTGTGCTCACCTGTTGTTGGACTTCATAGCACTTGAACTGATGCAGGCTCAGTTGCCATTCACTATGGCACTTTTCTTTTGCAGATGAGTCTGGATGTTTACTCTTCACAGTTCTATCCCTAATGCTCACTACAAGGGCACAAAGAGAATCTTACTGGAAGCATATAGATCATAGAATCATTAAGATTGAAGAATACTTCTAAGTCCAACTGTCAACCCATCCCTCCCATGCCCAGTAACCACATCCCTCAGTGCCACATCTACACAGTCCTTGATCACCTCCAGGGATGGTAACACTACCACCTCCTTGGGCAGCCTATGCCAATGCATTCCACTCCATTGGAGAAGAAATTTTCTTGATATCCAACCTGAATCTCACTGTATGCAAAATGCAAGGAGTTACGACTCACCCCAGCAACTCTTCATTACACTCAAATCTACAAACTGTGTTTGCCTAACCTAGTCCCTCATCCTTTTCTTTGTCACTTTGATCCACTCAGCTCTAGATTTTGGACATGTCGGGCTCCCAGATCCCCTCATTCTGCAAGAAACCTTGCTCATTTTGCAGAGAGGTTTTTAGTTTTGGAAACTATGGACTAAAGCTTTGGAAGTGTCCAGGAGCCACTCTGAGCCATGGAACAAGCACAAAACTCTGAACCATTCCATAATCTCTGTAACTGATTGGACCATGGAATAGGTGTCTGGATTTGGAAATATTTCAGGCCAGATGCACATATCTCATGAGAAAAAATGTGGATTATAGCCAGCATGTAATAACTATTCTAGTGCTGTTTCACAGGAATAAAATAATTTTAAGACAGAGATCTGCCTTCCCTCTCAGCTGCTAGAAGCATGCCCTGCTCTGGGAGTCAGTGCAAGCAGTGGGAGCTCAAAGGCAGGTTTGGCATTTCATTTGAATTTTGTGTAGTTATCAGATGCTTTTTCTTTGTTTTGGGCTTGTTTGGGCTTTTCTCAAGCTTCAGCCTTTCTGAGCACAGGCCTCTCCCTATTGATTTGCTGCAGGCAGAAACAGATGTGGGTGACTTTGAAAACTGACAAAGGGACAATGAATTAGACTCTGCAACAGGAATGGGATACAGAGCAGTGCAACAGGGTGTCCTGCAGCAAAATCAGACCTTCATGCAGCAGCAGGTCCAGCACCGGTGAGTTTGTTGGGATCCAAACAGCATGGCAAATCTGTGTGCATGTTTGCATGTATGTAACACAATGGAAGTTTAAGTCAATAATATCATATGAAACAAGAACAGCATACATTACTCATTATCAAGTTACTACTAAAGGGTTGAGATATTTAGAAAACAAGGAAAAAAAAAAAAAAAAGAAAAACATTAGTGAAAAACAAATACCTAGGGAAACTGTTACTTGTTGTAGCAAGTTGCTACATCTTGTAGCTCCCTACTTGTTGTAACAGGTTTGCAGCTACCTTCTGTTGCCAGGCAGGGCTGTTACTCAGGGTGTCCCTTCATGCCTTCGTCACTGCTCTCTTGAGGTGTTCTGCTCCCTCACCTTGCTGGAATCAGAGCCTTCTCTCTCTGAGGCCAAAGATGTGACAGCAGTGCTCCCCTTGTCTGAGCAGACTTCCCGCTGAGGCCCTGCATGCTGACACAGGCCCAAGGCTCTCAGCTCCATTTTTGCCCCCGGACCTCAGTGCCCAGCTCTGAGCATGGGCTGTGGGGCAGGAGCAGAGCCAGCACCTGCTGTGTTTTTTGAGAGATGCCAAGGAGGGCCGTGTAAGTGTGGGGCTGGCATCAGCCTGGGGATTGGACCCTCTGGGGCTTCCCTCCTTCAGTAACTCACTTATAGCTGTGGTGTATATGCATAGTTACCAAAGTCTTCATTCATGAGGCACCACATGAGAACATGCTTAA